TCCCACTCCAGGGGAGGACATCCATCACACAGTAATCTCGTGCGTGGGAAATTAACGTCTCCTACCCCTAACCCTGCAGGAGACGGGGCCTACGGTTTATTCGTTCTTATCCGAGAACACTAGAATATCTATCAAGTTGATTTGGTAAAATTAATTGGCCAATGTAACGATTACAAAAGCTGGCGTTTCGAGCGTTAGCCCTTCGTCGGAGCGAAGGGCTAACGCTCTAAGGGCTAACGCTCGAAACGTCAGCTTTTGTAATCGTTACGGTGGCCAATTTACCAATTCAACTTTGTTGATATATCCAAATTTATTCATGTTTTTCTTGTTGCCATGCTCCCACCAATAACGTAGCTCCACAACCCACAATTCCTCTAAGGGCTAACGCTCGAAACGTCACCTTTTGTAATCATTACGGTGGCCAATTTACCATTTCAACTTTGTTGATATATCCAAATTAATTCATTGATAAAAGATGTTATTAATTAACAGTTCTTTACAAACGCGTCATTATGAGCAATTACAGCCAAATTCGCGCGGTTAGTTCCTCCTATAAACGAAATTCCAAAAAATTAACAGTCAACCATCAAATGACCCAAAATTTAATTATCAAACGTCAAAAGAGCCTATTTTAACCGTGAACCGTCCATGTGACCCCACCCCATTGAGAATCTCTAACTAAATTCCTTAACTGAAGCAAAAAAAGTGAGGCACTGTCAACCATGATCAAAGAGTTCATCAAATTAAACGCAATGCCAGAAATCTTGGGACGGCGCGTGCGCAATACTGTCCCAATGGTGGCAAACTCGTACCAATGCATGTCTGAGATTGACAATGCAGTGGCTTCGTAATACTCGTGCAATAGTCGCATATTATGTGATACTGCTGGTAATTTGCATGTTGATCGAACTTTGATATGATTTGACTGTAAAGTTTCATGTTGATCCAAACATATTATGGTCTCTTAGAATGTCAACAGTTGTCAACGTTGTACTGCAAGGAAACGATTTGAAATGTTTTGGGGGCGAACTTGTTTTACTGCATGCAGCCAACTCGCTAAGGTGGTGGTAAGTGGCAAACTTGCAACAAAGAGAAACTTCTAGATACCTGTTCGTTGATAGATTTATGCCATAGCATTGCCATAAATGTGGGACAATATGGCGGAGGCGGTTCTCGTGTTACAAGCAAAATGGCGCCGAAACAGTACAAGAAAATGTATGGGAAAAAAATTGTTTTTTCAAAAAGGCTATTTAAGAACGGAATATTGTTTCGCTGCGTACTTGGAAATGCAGCCTACATCGGTTAAAGCGTCCATCGTTACGAAAAAAAAATACTCAAATTCAAGCCTACCTTTTCCCAAGGTATACCAGTAAACCGCCTCCTGGTTAGCTCAATTGGTTAGAGCGTTGGATTGTGTTGTGCGGGAGGTCGAGGGTTCGAGCCCCGGCCGGACCAATACTCATGGTCTTAAAATGACTGAGGAGAATTTGCTACCTTTCCATGACATCAATGAAATGGACAGATATTCTATTCTTCTCAGATAAAGACGAATAAATGGAGCTCCCGTCTCCTGCAGGGTTAGGGGTAGGAGATGTTAATTTCCCACGCACGAGATTACTGTGTGACGGATGTCCTCCCCTGGGGTGGGATGTGTGGGGGGAAAAGGTGAGGTCGTTACATGGACAAAAGCGGCTGCCAGGGGTGCCTGATAATGCTGACGTCCGATCTCAACCTCAGTAATACTGCAGACCTTAGCAATTCAGCCTATGCTGCTATTTAGGTATCATTCACTTTCACTTTCATAATTCTGACTCCATTTTCCCATACAAACTCTTAAAATCTGCGTCGAGTAGGTGTTACAACTCTTTTGTCTGGGAACAACCTTGTGAAGATTCGCAACTGCGTAGATTGATATGAATTCTGCAGAAGTTTGCTCAACTAAATCGCTCGTAAACAGTCGAATACGTTGGCCCACAAATTTTCCTCGAGCCGGGAAACTCTTCGTATTTTCGTAAAGCTCAAAAGCCAAATATGCCATTTTTAAATACCCCAATTTTAAGAAGGAAGAACACGTAATTCCAAGTAACTGCACAATTAATTTGGCCGCCATTTTCCTTGTTTTGGCGTCTCCTATGGCTTTCTGGGATAGTAAGGTACCAGACCTTTCTCTGGTGGGGTTTTACGAAAATAGAAAGTTACGTGTTCACTTCACTTCCACCGCCGCCATATGGAATTGTCTGTAATACGATATACCGCTGACATTTTGTAACGGGCTCGAAATGCCCCCGATTCTGGTGATGGTATGATTTTACCAAATAGAACACGTGTGACATCTCGCGGAAATGGCTGTAACAGCTTGACTTACAAAAAAGGCCATTTCAGTCATATCTATTTTCATTCTTCTTGGCCTCCCATCAGTCTCCAAAAGGCCAGTGATGTGTTTACAGCCGCCTCAGGGATGCATCTGACGATTATTATAGATTGTTTCTTTGATGGCGTTTCTCGGTTTAGTATTCAGATAAAAAATACAAGTGGATTGAATGATCAGAAGGTCTCTTCTGAAAGTGATCGAATGAGGGCAAAAGAACAAATACAGTAACACGGTAACACAGAGCAATTAGGTCCAATCTATTTCTTGTCTAACCAGGCATTGGGGAGGGACTATCGGTCACCTCATGACTGACGTAAATTGAGAAATATAGAAAAAGTGTAATTGTTCTATACAACGGGGAAACTGCTACAAGCGCTGTAGATTAGATATTAGAGCAAACTTCAAACAAAGAAACACAACAGCTTTCACCTCCTCAGCTGAGAGAATAAGATGTTTTAATCTGTAGACAACTGTACGAAATTACAATAACAAAATCTTGAAACGCTTAATATAGTTTTATTTTGGTTCCTTTAACTTAGTTAGGTTGCTTTCACAAATCGTTTGAGAGAGAAATTCATCCAGAGAACCTTTAATGTGAAGCGTTTATCACTATGAAACCTTTTTCAAGCTCATGACAGGGCCCGAAAGACCCATGGTTGCCGGGTTAGGGCAATTTTGACCCTGTTTGATTTGTTGTCCTCCACCAACCGGATTGAAATTAGTTTGAGGGAACACGACCCAATTCCCAGCATATTCTCCAACTTAAAGAGATCTTGCACCATTCAGGCCAATTGCCGTCAAGTCTGATTGCTCAGTTGTTACTTCCTATATGGGTTGAGGTAACAAATTTAATACATAAGTTTAGACCTCGAGCTTCTTCTCTAGTTGTTTCCTTTTTGGTGGCAGTTACAACTCGCAATTCGCTAACATCTGAGAGTTCTTTATTTATAACTACGTGATCTTCCTCGTTCGGGAATTTATTCGAACTTTGAAAGCAACTGTAATATCAACTCTATACGGGCAAACATGAATTTTTGACAAGAGTTCTAATTTTGTATGAAACGACGTTATTTCAATTGTCTATTTACCTGAGAGGGAAGCTCATAGTTTTCTTTTTCATACAACAGTACGCCGTCTGCCATGCTCCGAAATTCTGAAAAACATATTTGTCGTATAAAGAGTGTTAGAAAGAACACGTTTAAGTGAGATGTTATATTGTAGTGTAGCTACTGAGGAGCTGTAAAAGCGAGAAAAAAATGTCATGTAAAGCGCACGAGAATTAATTATCATTTTCATAACTAAGGCGTTTAGAAAGTTATGGGAGTTAGGCCAACAGCGCCGTGAAATAAATTTACCTCGATCGTTACTAAAATAATGTGTAAACTTAACCGTGAGTATTGCAACAATTTTAGAGACCGTTTAAGGCAAAAACTGTCACAGACGATTGATGCGGCAGAGGATCTTTTCTGTGGTTGAGCATAAACATTATACTTCTCGTTTCATCCCCCTGAGCTGATCAACTTTGCATTTCCATAGAATGAAGAGTATACCTGCATAAGTACATGTGGATCAGTAGCTTACCTCGTCTTCTAAATTTGATCTTTGCGGGTTAAAGCAACTTCTCTTCTGTCGAGGCTTCGACTGATGAGTGTTCAGATGTTCACGGAGTCTTTTTATGCTGTTCTAA